CATTTCTGTGGCAAGGGGAAGCTATTTTATGCAAAGCCAGAATGAGTTGATTTGCAATACAAAATTGCTTTTATGCATAAAACTATGAGTAAGAACATCCAAAATATTATTTTATTATTACTTATATACCTTATTTAGTAACCAGTGCTTTTTCCTCCTGCTATGTCTCTACTGCAACTCTAAGTCACCAATCAAGATTTCTTTTATTGCTCGATATAAGCTCTTTAATAGTTTAATTCCATCTTATTTGAAGAAAAAAAAGGCCAAATTATATTTCACTTCAGTATATTTGCCACAGATTTCCCCATGACAGAACATCACATTTTCCTTAATTAGGAAAAAGCTCCCTTGTTAATAGAGTGACTGACTGCTCAGCATCAGCCAAGACCTAGACACAGACACCCTCAGAGGCACAGTTAAACTTCAAGTCTGACCATCTTCTTTTATGTGACCAGAAGGGCAGCTGTAATACCCAAAGGTTATTTGCTTGCTGAAAGAGTAGATTGTCCTCTTACATAGGGCATTTGTCCCTAGCTACAGGGCAGGAAGCAGCTGCACCACTAGTTAAACTTGTGTATCTTAGAACATCAAAAGATACAGAAGTGTTTACATGGTGGCCTACTGTCCTTGCAGAGTGGACCTCCTTTCAGCCAAATGAAAAGTGAAAAAGGCTTACAGAAGAATGAGATGTAAGGACAATTCTTCTCATTCACTCTTTATCTATTTGAAAGAAGTTCAGCTTTAAAGCAAAGAAGAAAAAATGGTTGACAAATCTGATTGAGTCTTCAGGCCATAGATTGTCACCATGCAATCTAGAAACACCTATACCTGAAATACTTTAAGTTAGCAATCTTACAAGAATTTATGTTGCAAATGATCTGTAAAAATACACTCTCAGTATACAGAAAGATATTATATCACTTTCTGCAGCTATAATATGCCTTACCTATCTACCTCTACATGGACAAATAGGTACACACCTATTGTGTTTTATACATGCCAGATGCAGTCTTCTATGTTTGTTTACTTTTCTAGAGTTAGCTGAACAAAGTACAAGAGAATTGGCTAAAAATTTTATTCCCATTAGAACATAAACTCAGTTCTCCTAAGACTGCTAACACTTTGCTCTCTATCCCATTAAAGTTGCGGCAAATGAGCAGCTTTTTGAAGGAAACTATGCCAGCAACTAAAATAATCAAGGTCTACATGAAAGCAATAAACCAGAGGAGAACAAGACAGAAAGATATTACTACAATTCTGATATTTAGACCAACTGATCTTCTAAGAGTATCTTTTATGCTTGTATTTTCTTTGATCTACCAACAAGCTTTTTTGTTTGTTCTTCCAGCTTAATGTGCTCTGTGCTAGATGAAGAGCTTTTACTTATGACTCATTTGTGGAAGCAACCCTTGAAAGCATGTTTCCCAGACAGTCATCATGATTTTGATTACATGCCAACAATGCTTCTTTATGCAAAAAAGGACTCAACTCCCCAAATCCACAAGTATCACGCACTTATCTCAAAGCTCATCTGGTTGAATAGCATGACAGATTCTTCCTCAGTTACTGCTTTACAAAACTCTCATCTATGTGAATTAGAGTATACAAATTACTTGCTATCTGAAAATAAAAAAAAGGGGACTCAAAAATTACTTAATTTACTATAATATAGGAAGTTTTTATTTAAATATAGCAACATTTTAATTAAGGACTCAGGTTTCTGCACTCTGGGTCTATCTGTATCACCAGGCTTTTGAACCGTACAAGCACGATACACAGGTTACTCTGGAACACAGGAAAAAGCACTCTGAAAATATCTAATGGATTATTCAATTCCTTAATAGTTCAGAGAAGTAAAGAAGCACATTCATGTCAATGCCATGACTTTTATATTAGCAACCCTTCATCCTTGAAATAATCTTTGTAATTTCTTATTGGTAAATAAAACAGTACTTTTAAAAAACCAACCAAATAAAATCTCACAAAAGTTATTTCCCCATCCTTGGGATGAGCGAACCAAACAAAGAAACTAAACCTTGACAAACTGAACTGACAAGTAGATGTATCAAAAAACCCAAAAAAAAGAACAACAAACAAAAACCCCCAAAAACAACAGCTATTAGAATCACCAGAATGGACAGAACTTCAAAACACAGAAGATGCAAGATAAAATAAAAAATATTATTTAAACAATATTACTAACATATTGCAGTAATGGTAAATTATATCCTTTAAAATTATTTATCTATCCAAATTCTGAATGTTAATGTTTATATTTCCAGGGAATACAGGTATTTTTCTCATTAAAGTTTTTTCTATTTTTTAGGTGTTTTACTGATCAAACTTCCAAGAAGGCACCCAAACCCACTGATTTTTAGAGACATTAAATTAAATTATAGTCTACCACTCTCCCTTCGTTTTTAAATATAAGGCTACTATTTCAATCAAAAGCAGCTATTTAGTTTAGTGCAAATTATTGCAAATGCAAAATCCTATCTAGTAATAAACCTTCTGCAGTGAAGCAATGAGTATGCATAAGAACAGTTATCTATAGAGATGCCCAGATAATGGGCTCCCTGATGTTCTTCATCTCCTTCAAGCCATAGGGTATTTCTACAAAGGCAAGAAATACAGCTGGACACAGAGAACATCAGTAAAAGTTACCCCTAATCAGTGGAGCAATTCTCAAAAAGGCTTTTTAAACAACATGTGTTCGAATAGCTGAGCTTCCAGGATAAAGTACACATGGGCCTCTAGGTGTCATCACAATTGGTAAAGAAGTAGACACAACAGCTTCACTATTTATTCACCATTTATTATTTTGCACTGTGTTGGACATCAGAATTTATTCCTTAAAAGCCACTGAAAATATTAGTGCATAATGGAATTTTTTTAAAAATTACTTTTTTTACTGATAGCAAAACAAACATTTCCATATTATATTTAGGATAGCAATAGAATCCTCCCTTTTTATGCGATTGAGAGAACTTCAAGTGATTAAGCAGAAAATATATCTTTCTTTGCAAGGTCAAATACTGTCTCTTAAGCAACTACTGTGAAGGCTTTAAATTCATTTGACCCTCTGCTGGAAAAATATATAATCTCTACTTGCAGCTGACACTATCTTCTTTGACATTTCTTCACTGCTTAGTTGAGAAGCAAATGATGTGTGCTAGCTCAATATTATCACAGCATGTGGGGACAAACAGGTTGACCAGTTAAAATAAAAGCAGATATCAAGTAAAAGTAAAACCCAAACAAAACAGTTTGCCACAAAACTTTAAAATGAAAGCCTAATACTTCCTATTCATTTGTCTAGAAATCAAATTCCAAGTTTTCTTTGGAAGACACTTCACTGTTCCTCCACCCCCAGTCTCGTTTCAATTAAAAAACCCAAAGCTGAGCACCCTCAGCATATTTCAAAAAATAGCATCATGTGATGCAGAGGAACCATTTTCCTCCACAGACAAGACTGTAATCAGAAAAAAATTTAAACATTTTTGTCATTATCAGAAAAGATGCAGTTTGAATTTATGTAAATACTTAAACAGAATCCTTCAAAAGTACTCTGCTGCTTTCAAATGTAACAGACCACTAGCAGTAAATAAAAAGCTCTAAAGAACAAGCCCTATAAAAAGAAATTGACCAAGAAAAAGTTATAAAGCATTTCCTAAAATGCTGCATCCTACCCAGCCCATGATCTTCATATTACAAATTAAAGCTGATTCTCCCTTCAAGGTCACCAACTCTCTCCCTTAAAAGAATAGTGAAGAAATGATTCAACATTTGCGTCAACTTGTACGTACACCAAAATCACTGGAGCTAAGTTGTTTTAAGAATACTCAGCATATCTCTTTCTTAAAGGATTTAATCCGATCTCAGTTCATTGTACCACAGCTCGAAGAGGTGCAAGATTGCATAATTGTTTGTGATAACTCAACAGTAGAAATGAATTTAGGAAAAGAGGTAGGAACTTAATACTACATTCAAAAACAAACAACCAAAACTAGTCTTAACAGAGCTTTGTAAGGACACTGATTGTTACAGACCCCTCAAAACACTACAGGGCTTGCTCTTGTGATCTTGATCAGACATTGCCCCAGGCGATGATGTCCTGAGGTCATAAAAGCCCTCCAGCAGCAGCACACTCTGCTTCTGAGTGCAAGACTGCCTGTCTCCCTCCAACAATCCTTACTCAGTATCTAATGAAAACTGAAGGCAAACTGGAAGCTAATAAAAGATATAACCTTCCTAAATCAATCCCTTGGTAATAAACACAGCAACTGATATAAATTTACTTTTATATTCAATTTTACAGCAGGTGTGTGTTCAAAATTCATTTACAAAGGACATAAAGCCTTAATGCGGACAGAAATTTCCAATAGCATTGTTTTGCATGGAGACTGTTACAAGTGTTAAGAAGAGCAGTGTCTTTATGAAGGACAATGAAGTCTTTTTAAAAATTATTGTTGATGGCATACAGCCACCTATCTTTAACCCTGGCTGCAAAATCCCAACACAATAACCTAAAAATAGCCCATCGTGAACTACTTTTGTACCTTTGTTCAGTCTTTCAGAACACTGACTTGTTCTCATCTAAAGTATAATTTCCTGCTTTTCTTGTCTCCTGTTATCCATTAAAATATAATAAAACTCTCTTTAAAGTATAATAACTCTTCCAACTTCATTTTCTAATAATTTTTAAAATTTCAAAAAATTGTTTCATAAACACAATTATGCCCACTCAATGAAAACACTGGGAACTATAGCCAACTGAAACAGAAGTCTTTACTCTGATTGGATTTTCCCTCTTGTGAAAGACAACTGAATGTTCTGAGCAAGAGCCATCTGATCCACTGAGAGAACCTACTTGCATATTTCAGCACTGGCAATATAGTGGGTAGTCATAAAAGCTTCCTGGAGCACATTTAACGTAAATATCAAGCACTTAAAAAGAAAACTTCTTCATTAAAAAGAAATTATAACACCTAAGTACTTACTGTTACTTCCTGGCAGTAGAATCTATGTTCTCAGTGAAAGCATGAAGCTGCAGTTTGAAGTGATTGCCTGTTAAGAAGTCAAAACAACATAAATATATTAATTCAATATAGAATAAACTTTGAATTGCAAAAGCTAATAATAATCTTTTCTTATACTATAAGTAAGAAATATACCCACAATAAGGTCTATGTCTCTCCTCCCTCCTTTCCCCACACAAACTAAGAATCACAAACTCAGGAGAAGTGGAATTTGTGTCTTTATAGAGACACTGTCACAGAATGGCTAACAAATTCTGCCTCAGGACCACAGAAAAAAAATTCAGAACATGCACAAACAAAAACCTAATGGAAAAATAAGCTCTAATATGTTCTAACACTCCAGCAGCAGACACAAATTACTGCAATGTGGACACTTTGACTTTTAACTGGCAAAATAAATAGAACCAGATACTAAAGAAATGCATTAGATATAATTCTGGTGACTTCTTAATATATTGAAGCCAAGATAATGGTATCTCCAGATTGTCACTTATTCCTCTGGATTTATCAAATGGATCAGATCCGAGAAAAATTTAGATCCGATCATGTTGCCAATGCTCATTCTCGTATAACAGCTACAGCAAGTGATTAAAGAGGACAAAAATAGGTTCCTACACTGATATATTCTAATTTTGACATTAAAAACATAAAAAGAGGGTTTGCATTAGAATACACAGAAAGTCAAAATAAAAAAGAATTTTTCATATGATTTGTTCAATCTTACAGGTAATCCTACTTGTATTTTCTCTTCCATCTCTAGAAATATAAATTTCTAGCAAATGAAATAACAACAAACATCAATTGTATTACATATTGACAATGTCAAGTCCTTAGGATTCATGAAAATAGTTAAGTCCCGAGATTCTTTCTGGATTAGAATTTATCTCTCAATTCTTTATGTGACGCCTCACATGCCACAGTGGAATGAATAAAACATGTCCACATGCCCTTAGCTATTGAGATCCTATAACTGTAGAAGCAATATGAAGGTAAAAATTGTCACTCCAGATTATAATGCTACTCCAAAGTAAACATGTATTTCCACTCTTAAAAGCACCTTAGTTTCAACTGTGCTCCGTTTTCCTCCTTCTCCATAGGCAAATTCTATGATTCTTTAAGTAGAATTTTGTTTTGTTTTAAATCCTACCAGCATTTTACACATTTCATATTACATAAAAGCTGAGACTTAAAACTAAAGATGAGACACATATCCTGCAACATAAACCTTATTTGCAGGTTTATCAAGAAAGCTTCATTTCAGGAAACCGCAGGTTTCATTTTACATGGCCTTGAGATCAAAAGGGGGAAAAAGTAGATTACAGTAGGAGACCTTTGGATAAAAGACAGCAAACAAGTTGAGAGCAGCAGAGGTTTGGACAAGTGTTGGCAAAGTTGCATGATAAGATTAAATAAAAGTCAAATTGCTCAGCAGTGAAACAATTACATAAAACCATTCTACTTTCTTATATTTATCACTACAAGAAAAGCCAGAAACAAATTCCAAAGTGAAAACACATTTTGTCCATTTTAGATGATAATATTATGTACAAGGAGTCTTCATAAACATAGGACACATGATATAATTTTATTTTTTGTACACATTGAAAAACATATAATAGGTAACAAGTCACATCATATGTGGTTTTTTCCAATATTACTCAGTATTATTCATTCACACCATAAAACTTGGACAATTTAAGGATTTTACTACTTCTAGATTTGTTAGGTCATTAAAATAGGGGATGTTCTTGAACATGTTGATATGCCAGAACGCAAAATAAACAGTTTCTATCTCAAAGCTTGGTTCTCTTTGTTTGCTTTGAATATTCTCACTTAACAGAGTTATCTACTGTTGTGAGTCAAGAATCAGATTTAATTCAATGTGTGAGTTAAGAAAGTATTGCCTTAGTTGTCCATGGTATTAGCAATACCTGCAACAGAATTTGTTTTCTCTCACTTCCTACTTCTATTGTTAAAAATACTAATTAAAATTATAAATAATATACATATATACACACACACACATATATATATATATCTCACCCTTGTGACTGTTCCCCTGTGGAAGAATGTCAGAGATCAGACAGCTACAGAAGCTAAACTAGGTAGCACTGCAGACCTTTTAGCCCTGGTACAGCAAAAGTGAAGGGAGAGAAACTCAAGGCAAGAACAGAAGTGAAGACATGTCTGGTCACTCTGACCTCTCTGACAAAGATGAAACAAAGACTTTACTAACAAAAGAGATAACAAAGGACATTACTAGCATAAGAACAATCAGAAGATTGTGTTTCTAAAGAAGACCAAAACAAAAGCATCAAATTAGAAAATTTTGTTCGAACATAGCGACCTATACAAGAGATAAGGTTGCAGCGAGAAGGAGGACTGCGACCCAGCAGAGAAGATTCTTACCTCAGGCTGCAGGCAGAGAGCAGAGCTAGAACTTTACTACAACAAGGGACCCTTTTTGAAAACCAGAATCCAACAAAAAGTGAAATACCAACACAATTGAGAAAATTAGGCCAGTAATGTTTGCTAGACAAAAAAAAAAAAAAGAAATCACAGAACTGTGAGTACCAGAAAAATGCTTTGGTAGTGTTGATGTCATTTAAAAATATTACAGTAATTTCTTCACATTAAAGCAATTTTTTATTATGGCCTAAAATCCCTGTATTTTTTTTCCTAAATGAAAGAAACCTTGAGATTAAAAGCTCCTGCAAGCAGCTGCAACTAGAGTACTAGATAACGAGCCTAGGCACAACTCCAAAACAAGGGTATGAACAGAACCATCCTCAGTCTAGCAGTACTGCAGGCCCATAGAGCTCCCCACACCCACAGTTAGCCCCATGGTCAGTGTCAGCTCCCCAAGCTTGGGGGAGGCCCTCCCAGCTCAGAGCTCTCCCATCTCCTCCCAAGTCCGAGCAGCAACAGCCTGTCCTGAGCCCCTGTGTGGTGCATTCCCCTCACCCCCTCCCCGTGTTGCTGCCATCTCAGTCACAAAACTTGGTCCCGTTCCTCCAAAATAATATAAAATAATGTTTCATCAAGCCAGAAAAGCAAACCAAACTATGGGATATTACAGCATGAACTGTAAGAATTTAGTCTCATTTTTGAAGTCCATGTCCTACAAAATAATTGCTTTTCATAACTAATGACAACAGAACCTGCACAGAGACTGTGTGACTATTGGAGGTCTGCCTGCTTTGAAGAAAGAAGAGATCAGTACCAGCAATTAATTATTATCATATCCAGTCAAGTAATGGCTACATTTTATTCTTTTGTGAATATCACAAATTGCTCAGATACCACAATGTGGAATGCCAAGTGCAATATAAGACCTGCAATGTGCTGGTAGAGATGCAGCAAGTAGCTATTTACTGGTAAGGCAAATGGAAATGATGCATTCCTCTAATAGACAGGAACATGAATTTGTAATAGACTGAAGCAATTTTTATTCTAATTAAATGGACGGACTATTTCCAGAATAGAAAACAGCATAAAGAAAGAAATGAAAGTGAAAAGAATGAAAATACCTATGAGATTTGGGCAGACTGAAGAGGAATGACACTCCTCACTGTCCCTTGCCCATAAGGGAAGAGTGGCCTCTTGGAGTAGAGAGGGGGCTTTCAAAAGAACCTCATCCTGACTATATCAAAACTATTTATTGATTTTTACATTTTATAGCCTTTTAACTAAGTTGTCCATTTGGAATCTAATTTAGAAATATTCTTCTCATTTTATATTAGTTTAACCATCTTGGAATTAAATTAATCCCTCAACAACCACATGAACAGCAAGACTTTTCTCACCCAGGGAAGATGTACATCTTCAGATTACAGCAGGTGAGCACACAGAGAAACGTCCTACCTGCCAAGTACACCTTCCACTTTAGCTTATATGTCGTAATGTTGCAGCATATGTCTCAGTTGAGATGGCCACAACACACAGAGTGTCACCACACAATTTCAGAAGGCTTTAAGCATTCCCCCATACAGAGCAACACCATACCTCATCAGAAGGCTTCAGGCATCTGCCCATACAGAGTAACACCATATCAGAAGGCTGCAAGTGTGTGCCCTCCTTGTTCTTCAGCCCCACCTTTTATACCCTCATGCTGATGCACTGCACCTGTGTGCCCTCTGTTCCCTTTGGTGGTTGGTCAGTGCCCTGGGCACTCCATGGCTCATTGCTGTCACTGCTGCTCACCGCTGCACCCATGGGAATGAGGCTCAGCCACAGCCCCACTCCCAGTCACCACAAACTGCAAACCTACGTAGCAGGGCTACAAAACCCCTTGGTTTGAGCTCCTTGTGCTAGGCAGATCCAGCACAAGAGAAACTGGAGCAGGAAGAAATGAATGCCAGTGACTGGTAATTAAAAAGGTACCAAAGTGGACACAGCATTCTGCTCTGACAAGCTTGAAACATGCTGCAAAAGACAAGAATTGCCACAGAACAATCAGTTTCTTTCTTCAAGTCTGCTGCTGGTGGGAGCTTGCTAGCCCAGTACCTTTTGACCAGCAACCAATTTAACATGTGAGCATAACTGCTATAAAAACTTACACACAAAATCATGCAGAATAAGTACATCCAAATCAATTCAAAGTTGTTAATCAATGGTATATTAATTCACATTTAGTCTAAAGAGGTATTTACTACTTTCCATAACAATTGCATGAGCACACTTAAGAACAAAAGCAGAAAAAAACCCCTGCTTTGAGGAACATTCAGAGATGAACTATATCTAAAAAGCAGTAATAAAAGCAGATGAGAGTCATAGAAAGAGTTCTATAGAAATCAGTTTTTATATAGTTATTCATAAAGAGGTAAAACTTTTTTTATTATTCATAGGCAATTTATCACATTTATATCAGCAACAGTACATTCCTATGTGATAGGACACTGAAAGGAAAACCTCACTATTTCTGACTCAATACAAGCCTTGTGCTTCAATCATATTTTACATCTACTCATTTAATAAAGTCCCTCAGTCACAGTTCATTCACAAAAGCTCAGAGACAGGGACTGCAAG